CAGATACTCCGCGTACTAAAGTTGTACTACAAAGTCGCCAGTTCTCATCGTCCAGCTCGCCAGATACTCCGCGTACTAAAGTTGCACTACAAAGTCGCCAGTTCTCAGCTTCCAGCTCTACAGATTGCTCCGCGTACTAAAGTTGCACTAGAAAGTCGCCAGTTCTCAGCTTCCAGCTCTACAGATTGCTCCGCGTACTAAAGTTGTACTACAATGTCGCCAGTTCTCAGCTTCCAGCTCACAAATTGCTCCGCGTACTAAAGTTGTACTACAAAGTCGCCAGCTCCCCAGATGCTGTGCCTGCCACGAAATCTGCACATGCAGGTTCACAAAGTGCTGTGCCTGCCACGAAATCTGCGCATGGAGGTTCACAAAGTGCTGTGCCTGCCACGAAATCTGCACCTGGAGGTTCAAAAAGTGCTGCACCTGCCACGAAATCTGCACACGGAGGTTCACAAAGTGCTGCGCCTGCCACGACCTCTGTTCACAAAGTGCTGTGCCTGCCACGAAATCTGCACATGGAGGTTCACAAAGTGCTGCACCTGCCACGAAATCTGCACATGGAGGTTCACAAAGTGCTGCGCCTGCCACGAAATCTGCACATGGAGGTTCACAAAGTGCTGTGCCTGCCACGAAATCTGCACATGGAGGTTCGCAAAGTGCTGTGCCTGCCACGAAATCTGCACATGGAGGTTCACAAAGTGCTGTGCCTGCCACGAAATCTGCACATGGAGGTTCACAAAGTGCTGCACCTGCCACGAAATCTGCACATGGAGTTTCACAAAGTACTGTGCCTGCCACGAAATCTGCACATGGAGGTTCACAAAGTGCTGTGCCTGACATGAAATCTGCACCTGGAGGTTCACAAAGTACTGTGCCTGCCACGAAATCTGCACCTGGAGGTTCACAGAATGCTGTGCCTGACACGAAATCTGCACCTGGAGGTTCACAAAGTGCTGTGCCTGCCGCGAAATCTGCACATGGAGGTTCACAAAGTGCTGTGCCTGCCACGAAATCTGCACATGGAGGTTCACAAAGTGCTGCGCCTGCCACGAAATCTGCACTTCAAGAGACAAGTGAAAACCTAATCACAATGGACGGCCGACCGAGCATAACCCGAGACCGTCTCGCAACAGTCGTTCCGCAGAGCTAGACTTGCCAGGTTCGAAGCCACCGGTTCTATTGAAAAATACAGCATGTCCGCTATCTCTCGAAAACGCATTTTGTATTGCACCTGCCACGAAATCTGCACATGGAGGTTCACAAATTGCTGCACCTGCCACGAAATCTGATGAGTGGTGTATGATGAGTGGTGGTTGAACAGCTGTTGAATGTCCGTAACACGGAAGTTACCTTCTAAACTTCCTTTGACAAACCACACCAAAAAGAAATACACAGTGGGTGAAACACCGACCTCCTGCGCCGCCGTGACATCGTGACATCCGGTAACTCTGTAAAGCGAAAGGCCGCCATTCCAGTTGGAATATGATGGAATATGTCCCAGACACGACTATTGGGATTGCCGTATATGCCAATCAGTTGGGGTGGTGCCAGGGGGGGTCAATGTAGGCATATATGGCAGTCCCATGGAGTGTCTGGGTGTTGGAATCAGTGGATGATTGCAGGGACTTCACCATCCCCCCCTGTCGACTTCACCATTTGGAGTGGCACCGGTGCCGCAGTGACGCGTTCCTGTCGCCTCGGTGCCCGTGTCGAGCGGGTTCCTGTCGACGAACCGTGGCAGGTTTTGGAGCTGCCAGAGTTCCAAGAAGTGTTCCCTGAGGCCGTGGGTGTCGTGGGTGCCTCGTGAACATCGAAGTTTGGGCAGAACATCAGGTGTGGGTATACATACTTCTCAGGAGTATTTGTAGTTTGTACTGGTAGGAACTTGTTGGTGGACTTTTGATGTGGAACCTTGATTCGATCTGAAGCTGCTTTAGCAAGTTATGGGGAGTCATTGTGGTGAGTAGATCAAACATGGAATGTGAAATGCATAATAAGGCAATAATTGTGGAGTCAGTAGCATGATATTTGAGGATGTTCTTCAATATAGCATCTATAATTTATATACTCTTGGATGTGTTATGCCAACTCAACGTGTGGATTCTCCCTTCCATGCAAACCACGGTGTTTCCATCAAAAACACGTCCGTGACAAAGCATGACAACGCCATGTTCCTTGGCGCTGTGCCATGCGAAGTCCCACCAAAACCACATACTATGGGCATCAAGCACGCTGTGCCATTGGGAAATCTTGATTGCAAGGACTTTGCCGGGCTACCGGTCGTGGCGGTCTGTGCCATGGGGCTTTGCTGGTCCCCGGATGTGTTGCTAGGGCTGCTAGGACTTTCCTGGTTCACAGTAACCCATGTTTTTGGTGGTCACCTGCGACTCGCATGTGTGGTGCCTCGTGCCAGGTGGAGGTGAATTCCTGCTTGCTTTGGGTTTGTGCCTTAGAAAGCGGTGGAAGAACAGGAGGGACGGCACATGAGTGACAGACTGCTTGGCACTCGCGTTTGGGCACTCTTCACTCTGAGGCTAGGGAGTCAAGATACGGCACATGGATGTGTGACAAAGGGGGATTTCAGCAGTTCGAGGAGTGCTGCGTAAAGTAGATGGTGAAGATCCATTGGATTGCAAGTCACAATTGTCCAAGGATATGTCTTTCTTCAATCTTCAACTCATTTTCGTCATGGGGGACAGTTTCCGGTACCACAATGAAGGAAACATCAAACAAATATTGCCGGTGGGGTTCATGAGCAAGGTTGAAGTTTTCTCCAACTTTCCTTCCATGCGCAATGATCCGCCACCATGGACAGACATGTATGCACAGCTGTCCACCCACTGCCGCTGTAATGTCTTATTGTATTTGGTTACCAGCAAGCTAGAGAGGTTGGAACAGCCCTTTTTCCCCAGTGAATTTGTTCCCTTATCTACTCCCTTATCTATGTAGAAAGTTCAGGTCCCAGTTCAGGTCTCCCAAATCCTGGTCTCTGCAAGTTCCACCACATGGACACGACCCGTTCTTCACACTCAAACCCATCCGCCTCAGGCGTTGGTGGAAAAGACCCAGCAAAGGGACCGCTACCGCTTCGCCGGGCTCAGGCGCGGACGTCGGACGCCTGTGGACGTCCACCGCTTCAGGGTTTCACGGCCCGAGCCGGTGAAGGGTGGAAGATCTCTCAGGATTTCCTAGGTTGCTGTGGTGTTTGGACCCTAAGCTACGGATGTCACAGGGGGCAACACCGCATGGAACTGCTATGACTCCAGATTTGGAGTACAGTTCCTGGTGTTTCTGAAAATATCTCTTGGTGTTTTCTGATTACTCACTGCCACGGTGGATTTTCCTCCGCGGATGTTTGGACACCACGTCCGGACGATCACTTGAGTTGAAACACGTGGCCGTGGTGGCCGTTCGGGTTTGCAGCTGCTCATTCGGAAGATCGGACCCCAGATCAATGGAACGTCTCGCTCAGCTTGGCGCTCCGCTGGGCCTGATCTTATGTGGAACTGGCGCAGAGTCAGGTGGAGACATGATTTGTTGGGTTTTGTGGACGGTTGGGTGCTTTTGAAGCAACATTTTGTGACGCGGGACGACGGCACACACGTGTTGTGTATATATACATGTGTGGGTTGACTCTTGCTGTTCTCTGAGTGGATCACACCAAGTTGTGACTAAAGCGGACATGTAGATGGCATTGCGTTTGAATTGATATCACCAAACGAGCTTCTTGCATTTGCGCCAAGCAAGGATTCCCCTTTCAAATCCAGCTTGGTGATTGGTCATGACTAATTGAGCAAACGGCAGGTGGTTGGTGAGAGACAGCGAACTACGGTCGCCGAACTACAGTCGCAAGCGCTAAGTGAGCATGAACATCATGCCCCCGGACTTTCGCACAGAAAAAAACGCGACGCGATCGCACCATCCATGACACCATTGCGCGGTACAGGTATGAATTCCATTTGTGGAAGTTGGATCACACCACACCAGAGCAGCTCGGCAGGTGAAGTGCACATGTTGCAGAAACTACTGGCTGGAGGTATCAACACAGACTCTTGATTGATAGAAACCTCCATATATGAAGAGGTTGTGCAATCAATGATGTTTGTTTTTCATCAAGAGTCTACAGTCTACATTACCTATAGGTGCTCATAGTTGTTGGATGTTGTTGGTAACCAGTTGGCATCCCAGTCGAGATATAAAGAACCAGGGTCTTTAGCCGGTACCAGTCTGTATCGGCTTGGGCCGGCCGGCATGGACATGCGGAGGGGGGTTCGCTGTGAGAAGCACACCACGCTCAACACACGGACCTCATGTTTCCAGCTTGCCACCAACAAGTCCAGAGTTTTGAGACAACAAGAACAGGTGCCTGTACGAGAGTTTGAGGTGCACTCATGATGGAATCCAAGTATGTTTTCTACTACCCTAAGAATCCGGGCCCTCAAACAGAAAGGGTTTTGAGGGCCCGGACCCCTGCCCCTGCCATGGAGAGCCCAAGGATTCTATGGGTAGAAACACTCAGGAGACGCTTGGATTGTTTTTGTCGCCCACACTCCCCCGGGCGAACTCCGTGAACCTCGAGAATGGCCAACTCCGCCAAGGATCCCCTTCTCCAGGAGGTTTCCACAGCATGCCACCGTGGCAGAGGTGCGATGATGTCCTGAAACAGTCAGAAGATGTGATGCAGCCAAGGAAACCAACATGTGACCCATCGTCAAGAACTGGGTGTGGAAGCTACAGGACTAGAGTAGATGAGTGTAGTGCTATAGTGCTTGAGAACAGTCTGAGTTTGTCCATAAATGTCCATATGCTTGTTTTCACTGTTTTTTACACCATTTTTCACCTCCACAATCTGACAGCTGAGGGCCTACAGGCTTGGAGATGGATCTCTGAATCTGAAGTGAAGCATTTTGTTCTCAAGCTTCGGCATCATGGTGGTTGCCGGACCAGAGGATTGCTTGAAGCCACCTCAAAAACAACCGGGGAAATGTTTGGTGCACTCTCAAACTACATGCTCTGAGTCTGACTGATATCACAGGGTCACATGATGTGGATCCCCCAATAGACGCCGCCTTTGTTACAACAGATCCCGTTCTTGGATTCCAGAGGCTCGCCGTTCTCGGGTCGAGCGCACGACAGGACTGGATCTCTTCCGCGATCTCCACCTGTGCTGAGATCCAGACCCTGCCGGACAAGCCCAGACTCTGCCGTGCGGAGAAGGGGAGAGGGGCAGAACATGCCATGTCACGAGGATTGGGTGAAGATCACTGGCTTCAAGAGCAAGAACTATAGAATGAGATGGAATGAGGACACGGCGACTTACGAATTGAACACACGTTTTTGGGTTTGTTGCTTCTGAGTAGCTCAGCGTACAGTCTAGTGCATTATTTCTTGGTGCACCCCAACGTGGACTGTATAGGATTCAAGAAATGTTTTGTGGTCTCGATATTGACCATACCTTTCTGCAGACTGTGCAAAGCGTTTTGGAATGAATCTGTGAATCTGTGTTGTAAGAGATGTTGACAAATCTTGAAAGTGTTGTTGACCCTTTCTACTTGAGCTCATATGGATCCATGATGATGATGGCCATGTAGAGTCTGATTCAGTCTGATTGGTTCTTGAGATTACGCTGGATTCGGGGGCTGGCAGCTGGCATAGCTGTTATGAGACGGTTAAACATGGTCAACCGCATGATCTTGCACCACTTCCGCAGCTTGTAGGGAAGCTCAAGCATTGGTTTGAGCGAGTTCCGCCTTGCAGAGCATGAGTACGCATCTCAGCAACGCATGACACGAGCTGAAACAGAAGCTGAATAGCGGAATTACGCCATGTTGGGTTGAAGGAAGTGCCTCGAACGTTGCCTTAAAAACGGTGGGAAGACTTCACATGCCACATGCCACAGCACATGCCACGGACCACTTCACGTCCCTTCCGTTCACGGGCCGCCTGTTGGTCTCGTCGCGGCCCGTCGCCCCGACGAGTTCGGGGAGCATCGGTTGGGCGATGAAAGCAGAGTGCGATCTCAGCGAACAGCTCCACAAGGGCCGCAATGCCTCTCGGCCGCGGTGCTTCGTTCGGACCGAGTCACGGCCTGGACCGGTCGGAGCTGCAGAGTTCTGGACCGGTCGGAGCCGGGACGGAACTCAGGCGCCAGCTTGCCACCCCAGCTTTCGTCGACGTGCAGCTTCTAGGAGGCTCCAGCCTATCGAAGAAACCTGGTTTCCCTATCCCTTCCGGTCTCAGGAACCCGAATCAAAGCCTGGAACCATCGGTAAAGGGCCCAGAACCTTAGTATATAGTTGGCCCCAAATAGATACACGGTTTCCAATAGATTTTTACGGAAGATCTACGAACTTCTATCCACCTGGGGGTTCTATCGGTCTATGTTCATTCCAAGGTAGGACAACCACTTCTTTGGTCGGTCCTCATCACCTTGCTTTGTGCACACCTTGCAGTGACGCTTGACGGCAGACGGATGGGGGCAGGCAGGGGGCAGTTTGTGCAGAGCATCGTGAGGAAAGAAGAAGGCTATGACATGGAAAGAAAGGATGATAAGTCACGGTGTTCCTTCCTTGTGTACGATTGCATACGATTGCAGACAAATCAGTTCCATGATAATCCATGTCATATCACTTCAATGCGCAGCTACTGATACTGATCGATACATACAACGGGTGTTGCAACAATGCACCGGAATGGGCTCCAGCACTGGAGCGCTCACTGAGGCTGCAATTGGACGCTCCCTTCTTCATCTCCGTTGGGAGTTTTTCTGGACAAATTGTCACTCCTAAGTGGTCCAGGGATGTGGGGAGGAAGCGTGGCTCCTTCACCGCACACGCGCACACACCCTCCTTCGCCACCTTTCGCCATTGGATGACCTTGATTTGGCCCAGCTTTTTCGCACGCACACCCTCCCTCTCCCCTGAAAGCTGTCTGGATGGCCCCAGAGTCCAATCTTCTTCAGGAACGAAGATCCAGCGGCGAGCGGTGCCAATACCTCCCGCTGTTTCCAACGTGGGGGAGCGCAGTGGAGCGGTCAACACTTGTTGGAATTGTTGGGCGAGGTTTGCGTTTGTGTTCTTGGTATTTCCTGGGGTGAGTACGCTACTGGCGTGACTGTAGGCTTAAGAAGTGAAACATCTCTGTCCTTGAATTACTTTTGTTGAAATTTATTGGCTTATTAGTCACTTTCTCGAAATGGTCTCAGATGGTTTGCTTGCTTCTTTGGTTTTCTTTGAGGATAAGTTCCACAAACCATTGGCACCATCTTTGAGCACTACAGTCTCTAACTACAGTGTCAAATGACATTCCAAATGCAAACCCCGGCCCTCTCTCCGAATCCCCTCAGGTTATTATTGCGCCTTTATCGGCATCAGCATGCTTTGCAACCACTTGGAGGCGGCGGCCGCGGACCTGGCGACGTGATCGTCACACGGCCTGGCGACGTGATCTTCTTTGTGTGGGCTGTGCATGTGTGGTGCAAAGAATCCCAAGATGAACTAAGCAGGGCAGGAAATTCAGTGATGTTGAGGCAACATGTCATCCTTTTGCTTACATTACCCGGCTCGGTGAAGAGTAGCCTGTCAATGCCGGATGAGACGCTTGCTTGATTTCTCTTTCAGCCTCAGTCGCACTCGCGCTCCAGGGTCACGGGAAGTTCTACCGCTGGTTTTACAGCTCTGGCGACTCAGTTCGACGTTCTCAGTTCGCGTTGGTCGGAGGTCGGTGAACCTCGAGTGACTTCCGGTTTCGAGTGAACCAAGTACTATATCGGAGGGTGGGCCAGCGATGGTTTGCATCCACCAGATGGTTTTGACCGAATGAATCCTCAATCTCTTGACCAACCGTGGACCTACCGAATTGGGGATTTCCCGTTGTGCCCGAATTCCGCTTTACACACCCTGACCATCTATGGGACTGGAATAGTTACATTTACCCCATGCAAATGATCCCAAATTGGATGGTTACTATGGACCGAACTTCCCATGGATGGTTTGGGATAGGATCTGGAAGATTCCAAAGGTCGTTTCATGATCGTTTCATATCGTTTCCATGGTGAGACCGTTTCCTTCCCGTTTCTTGGGCCAGTCATGACCTCCTTTGGAACCGTGAGTCGCAGATGTTTGGCGAGAACAAGACCAGAAGGTCCATGTTGGTCCTAATATTGGATATTTGAGCTTATTGAAGCTGACTAAGTATACCAGGACCTTCCAAGCTCGGTGGTTTTGGCCAAACCCCTTATATAACCTCTAAGATGCTATTGATAGACATATGTCTCGGAACTGGTAGCTTCAAAGATCACTTGGTCTCTCCGACCGCCCAGAACTTCACCAACCCCTCAAACCAACCGGTTCCACCGAGGAATCGAACCCTCCAAGAAGCGGGGCCTGGGCCATGCGGGGAAGAAGTTCTATGGCTTGATCTCTGCGCCCTTCTTGACGCCCAAACAGCACGAGATGGCAGGTGCGCAGGAGGTACCGGGGAGGTGCTTGGGGAGGGGTTTCGCTCTTCACTTATAGACTGGCAAGGGTTCCATCCATTTTTTCCCCAAACAGTGTGGCAACACCAGGGGTTCTTACGGTAAGGGTTAGCGTGGTCATGATCACTCCCAGACCAGAATCACCAGATTGGGTAGTTCAGCTGTCCGTGAGTGGTACGCACATGGTGCTGCGTGAGATGAAAAAAGATTGAGATCGCCATTCGCTTTGTTTATCATCCACAATCGACCGTCTACAGATTAAAATCGTCAATCCAAAGTCCTGTCTCATCAATCTGTGAACTTGCCTGCCCCCGGAACAACAACCTGTGGCACAGTCCGCGACTCCTGCTCCACCAATTCCCCAATTTCCACGCGCGGGTAACCCGCGGACAGCTTTGGTGACCATCATGAGCTTGTTCATCTCCTGTGGCCCTTGGGCCCCCCGCTTCTTCCTCTTCGTCGCATACTTCGGCCTCTTGGTTCGAAGGGGTCGACTTCCCAGATGTGGAGGTGACATGGGGCGGAGGTGACAGCGTTGGGAGCAAGTCTGGTGAGCTGTGGTTCTGGGTGGAGAGGGAGGTTTTAATGTCAATGATATGTATTAAATTTTGGGGGTGGAATACGTTGGACTGAACATCATCCATGCCATTGTTTGTGTCTTTGTAGCTTTGCGTTCATCCTGATGATCACAATACTCCAGCAGGGTATAAGCATAGAAAACATATGTGTTTTATCGGTAACACCAGTAACACCTGCAAATGATGTCTTGTCCAGTACCAATTTGGTCTTCATTTGTTCCATCCATTCCTGATACCAAAGACATCCAAAGATGATCAAAGATATTTGTATATAATGGTCTTGGCCGGCCCTCAACCAGATGATCTCAAGCCACTGAAAGCTGAAACAACAGCACGCCACCATGCCACCGTGGTGCACGGCTGGTCTGCGCTCCTCAGGGTGGTTCTTCTACTACTCCCAGCTCTTCTGTGCCACCAAAGCCGGTGGGCACGGAACCACCTTGGTGCCTCGATCTGAAGATTCTGTAGAGAACAAATTTGATTTATGTAGACTCTTGATTCGTAAACCCCCCCAATTGAATTGACAGATGTCTTCACAAGGGGGGTTTATTAATCAAGAGTCTACATTAAAACTTGCATGAACTAACCCCCCCATGTTTGAATTGTAGAAACACATTAAGGAGACCAACAAGCCCTACAAAGCTTAGATTTATAACCCCCTTATATCCCCCCTATTAGGATTGTAACACTTCCTCATAATAAGGCGGGCTGGGGTTTAGTACTTAAAGATTCTCCCCTAGGCTCTTGAGCGGCGCTGGAGGGTGAATCAAGGCCTTTTGGTTGATGATTTCCATCCCAAAGATCAAGGTCCATCAGGAGATGTGAACGTCTCCCAATATCTCCCAATGCTTTTTCTTCGGGTCCTGCAACCTCACAGTTGACGTTCGTCTTCGTGGATTGTTGCGATCCCGTGATCTCCGCGATTCCGCCGACCTGCAGGTGCCAGGCACCTTGCTGATGTTGGCCTTGAGCCCATTGAACGAAGCCACCCGTGAGGGCCATGCGACTCGGCGAGGCCGACAGGCCCGACTCTAGGTGTGACTGGTTCCGTGTTCAACAGGTGAACGTGGTGTTCCCGGTTAAGCTCTTTAATCTGAGGGTAGCGAACAAGAAATTGGGAATGGATGATCTTTCGAAGCAGAAATTGATTGAAAGTCCTTGAACCTTTCTTTGTAGAACTCCAAGCAGTTTCCATCCAAAAACAAACGAAGGCCGAACAAGTCCAGTTGTGAGTTTGATGAGGACCTCGTGTGGCCCGTTGAATTCATCAAGCTGCAGATTGCTGCGATGCACCTTGACCACAATTCATTCCGGTGCTGATTCATCGGGCGTAAAATGCGATGTTGATGCTACCACTATTTTCACACCCTGAACATAATCATAAGGGGTAGATGGATGTAAATGGGTAGACTCCATTTCACTAACATGGAAGTGGAGCTCACCCCCTGTTTGGGATTCGGAACATGGTCTTCGCCCATGCCATCCACTTCCAGGTGAGTCGGAGTGTAATTGGATGACCAGTTTCCTTCGTACCAAACAGATGGTGCCATCCACATGACGTTTCACCTGCATGTCCCCAGTTTTCTCATTCATGCAATTCATCCAATGATTCGATCGCCTATTGCCAGACCCAGTGGATTTACAAAAGATATAAAGAAATAGGATCTATATGGTTCTTGTATGTTTTAATATGTTTTAATCAAACTGGAATCACTGGTTACCAGTTAAAGTTACAGTGCTTTGCCTGGATCCGGAGAGAGGTATTTTTGTTGGGAGGTAGTTATCACATGAACCATCATGAACCACACTGTCACATCTCTCCCATCCTGACCCGACGGACCGATCGGCAGCCACTCGGAGACGGAGGTTTCTCGGTGAGAAGGAGACAGTTGGGGTGAACAAATACAGGGTGAGTGATGTTTATAGTATAGTTTGGGACCTGAACCAACACAGGTGCTTTGTGGACACCCCTTCTATCACCTCGTTTTGGAGCCTATTGACACCTGAAACGGTTTCGGGTGCTGGTAGTGAAAATGTGTAGAAGATCCAACAAAGATCCTCCTGACTCCCTCATTGAGCTCTCGTGCACGCGCACTGTGCCGGCGCGGCGCGGCGCGTAACGCGGCGGCAGGTATTGTGGCTCCGGACTGTGCAAGTTGGGCGGGGCCTTCGCTTTTCGAGCCTTGGCGCGAAAGCAGTTGATCCGTTGGCGCGTTGGCCTGTTCTGAACTGCCTGAGAGCTTCTGCATTGGAGGAATTAAATTAAGGAATCGTGGAATCGCACACACAATCTAGCTATAAGACTGTGTATTTGTGAAAGGGAATCCATGCCACTCTGGAGCCAATAAGCAGATATTCTCAGCACCGGATTCAGTTTTAAAGCCTTCAACACTGCTCTTCCGATGTACATTCCAAACATGTAGCCCACTGGATGTCGTGCTATGCTGTGCAGTGACTGGTGGTTGATTTTTGGCAGAGCTAGTCGTGTTTAGCGGCTCCCCATGCTATACCACTGGTGGGTTTGCCTGGACCTGCCGATTTTCTTGACGAAGCAACCCGACATTGTTTTGGACGGTTTCTGAGAAGACTCATGCTGGTGCTGTGTAATTTTGTGTGGGGTTTTTTCCGAACCCATGGTCAATCTTACCAATCGGACAGAGATGGGTGTGTATTTTAATAGGGAGACTCCCAACCAATGGATAGACTGATCCATTTCCATCTATTTGTCCTTCTTCCAGGGGATGGTTTGGGAGGTCTCCCTTACTGGAGCTACACATAGTCGCCACCCACACTCGCCCGACCCTGCCGGTTGGTCCTCCGCAAAGTCTACGAGGTCGCATTTGGAGTGGGACTACCCTGCAAGCCTACACCTTCGATTCCATGTGGTCTCGTCCAGGCAGGCGGTTTGGTTGAAAAAGGGTTTGGTGTATCCATGGTATACGCTCGAACCGGACGCGAGGTATACGCTCGAACCGGACGCGAGGCACAGTCCTTCTCAACTGGGAGGTTCTTGTGCAAGAAGAGCCCTCTTGGGATTTGAGCCAAGAGTTTCTTCTTTTGGTGTGCCTTTTACATTTGTTTCCTCAAACATCCAATGTTTGTCGATCAAGATGTGCCTTAAATCGTTCCTTGAAGTGTTTGGATGTTGTCTTCCATCCATGAAGTCACAGCCAAGCGCTGCGGAAAAGGCTGAAAAAGCAACGGTGACGATGAATGACCTGTTGCACAGCCTGAAATCCCAAGAATGGTGTCGCCAAAGTGGTTCAAAAAGTCTGCCACATTTTGAGTGATATATTCCATACCAGTATATCAGACATTTGGTACATACTCGCACATAGGGTGGCCTCAGGACTCTAAAGTCTGTACTTCCAAGTCCATGTGCGGCATGTACTTCCAGTATAGTTCCTCAGAGAATCTATCCGATCCAGGTAGCTCCATGGCTCAAGATGTCCAATCCACCTTCCCTGGCATCCCCCTTTGCACACACCTCCCTGTTCCCACACCTCCCCTTTCACAGCATTTTGGGTGGAAACCGGACTCCGCGTGGGACTTGGGGTGACTCCGAACCGGACTCCGCAGTGGCTCGTCCCGGAGTCCGGAGGTCCGCACACCGAGCGGACGAGCGGCCAGGCGGTGAGATCACCTGGGCGTTGCAAGCCTTTGCGGTCCGATCCCCTCGATTGTTGATCCCGGCAGACGCTCGGCGGACGAATCGAGGACGGACGGACGGACAGCGACAGGACAGCTGTCCGCGTGAAGTTCAATACCATTTGTTCATTACCTTTGGGGGAACTACAGCCAGGGTAGTTTAGGTGAGCAGTTCTGAACCTGATGTTCTTATCTAAGCTTTTGAGGCCTTCATGCTGAGCTGCTGAGCTGGGCTGAAGATTGCTTGGATGAATTGAGGTCCCTACACTTTGCCAAACAGCATGATTATTTCTCCACTGTTTGTCCTGGAATTCCATGCTTGGAAGGCACTCGAAATTCCGAGCAGTGTGTCTCCCAAAGTGCTTTGCGGTCATTATCATTCTGTTCTAGCCCACCCATGCGAAGATGAACACTATTTGCGCGGTTGGTCGGATTTTCATCGGATTCTTCTTTGTAATGAACACCATTCCCAGGATCCCATCAAACTCCACTGAGGCTGTGGGAGCTCTCTTCTTTGAGGTCGCTTTTCCTTTTGCCCTGACCTCGTATAGCGCCGGGCTCTTCTTCACCGCCTTGGGCCTTTCGTTTCACACAGGAATCTACTTTTTGCAAGGCCGGCGATGTGTGTGTGTGTGCAGACCGCTTAAGACTCACACCGACACCGCTTCTTGTGTTGGGTGTGTGGAGTTTATAGGAGTTTTAATAGTTGTTTGCAGAACACAAAGGGGTTGTATGTGTTTTTTGGTGGTGAATCCCCAGGTCCGACCTATTTGACATATAACATTGTATAATTACTATGTGTTGTGTGTGTGTCTGTGTCTTGATGTGTTTTGTGTTTTAATATGTTTTAATCACTTTGTTATCGTTTTTGTTTGACATGTTTGTATTTTTGTCCAAAGCAGATGTGGTGCAAAGCAACATGACCTCAACTGCCATAGTTGGCAAATGCTGGAAAGCAAAACTGTGTGGATTGGTTCAGGGGATCAATGGCTGTTCGCACAAACGCTTCCAGCCACACAGGAGACTTGTACGAGCTGTGCAGCAGAAGGGAGATTCCTAGCGATGATGCTTGCTTTGCTGCTTTCATAGGGAGATTCATGATCATCATATTCTTGAGAAGTCTAGAGGTGACATGTGACTTTGGGATGGACCTGAACCTTCCCCATGCTGGTAAATGTCGATCCATCTCATGCAGGTGCTTCTTGTGACTTTCCAAACCAATCTGCTTGACTTTAGGCACAACGACACATCAACAACAACTGTGAAGATGTACGCCGTACATCAGCTTTTTGTAGGTCAGGAGACCAAACCACCGTCCGACAGAAGGGCGGGCTCGAGAAAGCCAAAAGCCTGGCTCGGTGCGCGATCGACGATCGCCTCTTCGCCTTCGATTCGTTCGTTGGTTTTCGATTTGCTGGAAGACTTCGTTTGCTTCTGGTTTCTACATTGGTAGCGGAGCCTGGCTCACGCCTGGCTCCCTACCCTGCGCACTTCGCGACGGCTCCCCGACGGTTCGGAAGAAGCCCTACGTCACGAACGGTTCCAAGAGCTCTATTTTCCTGTCTAGGTCTTTGTCTGGTTGCAGTTCTCATCCGCTACCACATCACCCCGGCGAACCAGCAGACCCTTGAGGAGCTTCTTGACACCATGGTGAAAGGGAAACAACAACAACAGACGCAGGCATCCGGCTCGACGGGAGGCAGTTCATCTTCCGGCTATGCTGACCTCAGGGACTCCTACGTTCCCATCTTCAGCGGACAGCCGAGTGACTACAAGGAATGGAGGCAGCGGATACATTTGTATCATCGAAAGATGTCCATCACCAAAAGGGGAAACGAAAGTGTTCTCAACATCGTGGGCAGCTTCACAGGCCTTACCTGGAGACTTTTTCAGGACTGGGCGCTGGAGGACCTCGAGAAGGCCGAAGCATTCACGAAGATCATAGAGGTCCTCGACCGGAACTTTGCCTATGATGCCAGAGTTCAACTCCCCACAGACTTCGAGGGATACTTCAACTTGTTGCAGAGGCCACCAGGTCAGACGCTCCTCATGTACGTCAATGACCATGAAGAAGCATATCGCAAACTCCTGCAACATAAAGTTGAGCTTCCACCCTCAGTCCAAGGGTGGCATCTACTTCGCAGAGCTGCCTTGACAAGGGAACAGCGGCAGATGATCACGCTCAAAGCACCCGGCATGGAGAAGAACGACGTGATCGAAGCGCTCTACTTGGTCCTTGGACAGGACTACAAAGGAGGTGGCTGGAACAACGATCGCAACCGGCGATTCCAATCCTCCTGGCGCTCAAATAAGGCATACGCCGCTGATGACTACGTCCCAGAGGATGATGATGGTGAAACCTGGGACTATGGTTACTACGAGGGAGAAGAGTCATGGCAAGAGGACACCACTCAGTATGACTACGCCTATGAGGAGCCGTACGACTTCGACCAGGACGCTGGCTACTTTGGTGAGGAACCTTGGGTTGAAGATGATCCCAGTGGCGAAGTCGGTGATCCTCAGAGCCTGGCAGATCAATATGATCAAGCTTTCGCTTCCTACACGGACGCAAGAAAGCGCTTTCAGGAACTCAGGATGTCCAGAGGCTACCTCCCCATCGTGGCACTGACAGATGGCCATCAGCAGCAGGGTCCGGCTTCATCCACTTCTCCGACTACAAGTCCATCAGGCTGGAGGAGCAAGGGAAAAGGAAAAGGGGTGGCACCAAATCAGGCAAGTCCTCGACGACAATCAAGTATCCCCCACAAGGAGGAGGAAAGTTTGACCCAAAGGGAAGGGCCAAGGCCAACCTCAACTGCTTACGATGCGGCCAACCTGGCCATTGGGCGGCAAATTGTCCACAAGGATCGTCATCACCTTCGAGGTCAAGCCTCAAACGCCCAGCATCTGCAACTGAAGGTATGGCCTCGCTGACATCGCCACAGGAGACGGCACTTCTCATCTTCCAAGACAGCAGCGGCCAAGAAAGACCCGACTGCACGATGCTCGATCCTGGCGCCAGCGCTTTTCTCTCTGGCTACGGCCCTTTTCGACGACTGGTTGACCACTACAAGGACATCAACTTCCCAGTCGAGGTCATCAAGATGACAAAGGGCAGGCGCAAGTTTCAGTTTGGAGGGGATGCCTCACTATGGTCAGAATGGAGCGCTCACATTCCCGTGTTTGTGGATGGGCGTTACGGCACCATCGAGATCTTCCTCTTGCCTGGCAACACTCCTATGTTGTGCGGCAGGCCTATCATTGAGGCCTTGGGCATGTCCATGGATTTCGCCAACAGGCGACTCAAGATTGGCTCGTCACCTTGGCAGCCTGCAGTGCTGGGTCGACAAGGTGAATATCTGTGGTCCTTGACTGGCGAGCATGATCTCATGCACTACGACCCCAACAAACCAGAGTTTGAGCTGCGAACGAATGACCCTGACGTCCACCAGCAAGACGGCTACAACCTCAAGGACTTCACGCTTGAGGAGAAGGTCTTCAACAGTTCCGATCCGACGAGATCGACAACAGAGGCTTGCGACACCAAAAGCCTCAAGAGACATGATTTGAAGACCATGGACGTGACTCTATCCACACAGCTCAACGAACTGTCAGCCTACATCACCCGAGAGCTTCACCGACCTGAACGACCCAGAGTCCTGTGGGAGCTATACTGTGGAAAGGCTCGAACCTCAGAGGTGGCGCAGTCACTTGGCATGGAAGTTCGCACCTTCTCCTACGACAATGGGTGGAACTTCGACCAGCTGAAACACCAGGAGGCCTTCCTGGAGCTGCTTGATGAAGAGATGCCCGACGAGCTGCTCATTGCTCCTGAGTGCAAGCTCTGGTCTCGTATGCAGTCCCTTGGCCGGAGAACGCCGGCACAACAGGATGCCCTGGTCGCTGCTAGACAGCGACATCATGATCGGCACCTCATCTTCGTCAAGAAGGCATACCTCAAACAGCTCTCCGGCGGAAGACATGCCACCATCGAACAGCCCAAAGATGCCCTGTCCTGGAAAACTCAGGCATTGCGAACACTCCCTGGCCGCATCACAGACTTCTCACAATGTCGCTATGGAGCTCAGTGTTTGGACACAGATGGCCAATGGAGACCCGTGCTGAAGAACACCCGGCTGCTAACGACCAAGAAGGCTGTTCAAGAAGCCATGTCATTGCAGTGCAAGCATGACCACCAGCACTGCCATCTCGAGGGTTCAGCAGCCGGCTATGGGGTTCGCACCCGCTACATGGAGGACTACCAACCGGGTTTGGCAGCAACACTGGCCGCAGCCTTGAGCCTACCGGAAACACCTCAATCCTGGGAGAATGTCTATGCCACTACTGAAGAGAAGGAGGTGACTGGATCCCTGGTCCGCTTGCAGGCGAGCACTCGCCAGGAAGCCATCCGCACTGTGCAGAAGCTCCATCGGAACCTTGGACACCCTTCGAAGGAAGCCCTCACCGAACTTCTGGCAGCTCGTGGCGCCTCCGAAGCTCTTCTTGAAGCTGCTCGTGGATATACATGTCTAGCCTGCACCAAATACAAGAAGCCAGCACAAGCAGCACCAGCTTCGATGCCACAGTCGTCCACGTTCAACGACACAGTGCAAGCAGACGTCTTCTGGATTCGTCGTGGCAGCGCCAAGTTTCCAGTGATGAGCATTGTGGACATGGCTACACGCTACACCTCAGCTACTCTACTCCGTTCGGAGCAGACCGAAGAGTACATCAAGGCATTTGAGCGATCTTGGATCGCACACTTTGGACCTCCGACCAAGCTCATCACAGATGAGGGACGACCCTGGCTTGGGCGAACCATGGATGACTGGACTAGCTCACACGCCATCCAGCACATTGTGGCACCAGGCGAGGCTCATGAACGACTTGCTGTGGTAGAGCGTCGCCACGCCATGATCCGACGAGCCACTGAGATCTACATGGACGACCTTAAGATTGACAACGTCAGCGGAATCCGGGAAGCCTTGACTTACATCGTGCCCCAGATCAACGCTGCACCAACAGTGGCAGGCTTCAGTCCAGCTCAGTGGGTCCTTGGACACCAACCACGTATGGCCGGTGATCTGTTATCGGATCACCTTGAGGCAGTTCATCTTGGAGGTCATCCCAACTTCGAAGAGACCCTGACCAAGCGCCATGCAGCCAAGAAGGCGCTACTGGACGCAGATGCAGACCGCAAACTGCGTCGCGCTTTGAGCCTCAAGTACAAGGGCATCAACACCGAATTCCACCTTGGCCAACAGGTCTTCTTCTGGAGGGATGCCCGTCAACCTGACCTGGTGAAGGTTAGATGGCTCGGACCAGCCCACATCGTGATGAAAGAGTACAAGAACCCGCAGGAGGCACACAGTCAAGTCTCCGTCTACTGGCTGGCATTCAAGAGCCAACTTATTCGCTGTGCACCACATCACATCAGGCCGGACATCAAGGCCGTGGCACACTCCTTGGAGGACACCCAAGAAGCACTCAACAAGGTGAGACAACTGAAGTCCCGGGGTGTGACAAGATACTACGATCTGCACCAGCTGAATCGGAGGAATCTCATGGATGTGGAGGAGGATGAGCATGGTGAGTCAGAAAACCTGCCCTCAGACTCTGACCATGAGATGGCGCCGCCCAGACAGCGACCACGACTGTCTATGGCACCACCAGAACCACTACCAGAGGCATCCGCCGACAGCCCACCTCCAGACTGAGGACCGGGGCAACCAGCGGCACCTCCACCGGCACCAGACAATGGCCCAACGGCAGATCCCGAAACAGGCGAACCAACATCGGCAGAGATCCCAGTTCCTCAGAGCGAACTCTCACTGTCAGAACCGAGTGAAGAACCACCAGCACTCTCAGCAGCACCCACACCACACGGGGCACCACCTCATGGAGTACTACCGAACAACACGGCACAGGCACCAATGCTAGATCCGGCAACAGCGTCACTGTACGAAACAGCAGGACCGGAGACCTTCGAACAACGAAGACGCCGGTTCAACCAGCAAGAAACTTTGAGCTTTGCACCGTGGAGGGCAAGCAGACCGCCTCTGCCAGAGCCCTACATAGCAGCACCACCACCAAACACCACACCAGCAGAGTCAGCAAGCATGACCTACCAGGACTCAGAGCATGGCTTTGCTGTTGAAGATCTAGATGCAAGCCAATTGTTGCCCTCTGGTTGGAAGGTCGACGAGCACGGCTACATGACTCTCAGCGAGACACCGTCAGACTTCTGGGAGATCAAAGCTGGATGTCTAATCAGACACCACCTTGTGCCTCGACGTGGGAGACTACACCTGGAGCACCTGCCAAAAGACTGCCCAGTCCCAGCTGATCGTCTTGACAAAGTCAAGGTGACCCTTGTCCACGTGACAGACGGCAAGAGCCGCCTCTTCACTGATGATGGCACAGAGACCTCACCACCTTCAGGCATCAAATCCTCATGGACTGGCTGCACGATCTTCCAGATCGATGGCTCCCTGAGGAAAGAGATGGCCATGTACTCGGGACAGCACAACATCCACACCAGCATCAAACAGGAAGCAAAGAACCAAAAGATGATCAAGGCAAAGAAGTTCAAGAAAGACAAGAATGGAGTCAATGAACGCGCCTTGGGACCCCACGAAAGGGCACTTTTCAAGGAGGCCAAGGTCAAGGAACTCAAGTCCTTCTTCGACCACGGCGTCTGGACCTTTCAGCACAAGAAGGATGCCGATGAGTCTCGCACCCTGACGGCGAGGATGATTCTGAAATGGTCCAAGAATCCGGATGGCTCACCGAGGGCGAAGGCCCGCTTGATCGTGAGGGGCTACAATGATCCCGATGCCCTGGCCGGCCAGATCGTCACCTCCTCTCCAACGACCACCAGGTTGAGCCGAAGCTACATCCTGTCCTTGGCAGCCAACATGGGATGGTCGACATGGACGGCCGACGTCTCCACTGCCTTCCTTCAAGGGAGACCACAAAATCGAAAATTGTGGGTCAAACTGCCGGCCGAATGTCTTCAGCTGCTTGGAGGAGATGAGGACACAAGGATGTTGTTGCTCAAACCCTGCTATGGACAGATCGACGCACCTCGCGGTTGGTTTCTGGAAGCAGTTGACAGGTTGCTACGTGCTGGACTCCGTCAACATCCTCTTGACCCCTGTTGCTTCCTGGCATTCGAAACTGACAGCACAAACTATGATGCCCAAGATCCAGTGCACCAAACAGTTCAAAGCCTAGGCGATGAACGCCTTGTGGGAATGATCATCATGCACGTGGATGACATGTTGGGCAGCGGTTGTTTGAACTCCCCGCGATATCAAGAAGTGGTTCACACCCTCAAAGAGACCTTCTCATTTCGAGAGTGGAAGCAAGATCTCGACCAGCTCGAGTACTGTGGATGTGAACTCACAAAGACCGAGGAGGGTGGCCGCCGACTTCATCAAGAAGCATATATGGGGAAGGTCAGCCCCATCTCCATCAAGAAGGGCAGAGCACCGACTGAAGCACTCAACGAGAGGGAGATCACCCAGGTCCGCGGTCTACTGGGCTCAGTTCAATGGCCGGCTGTGCAGACTTCACCTCACTTGCAGTGTTCCACCTCCATGCTGTCCAGCCAGATCAACAAGGCAACAGTGCATACAGTTCACGAGTGCAACCGCCTCTTGAAGTTCTGCAAGGAAAACAAGGACGTCGGACTCACCTACAACCACATTGGTGAGCCACAGCAACTACAGATGATCACCTTCTTCGATGCAGGTTTTGGTTCGAGGCCGGATGGAAACTCCCAGGGCGGCTACATGATCAGGTTGGTGAACAAGTCACTGCTCAACTCCTCAGAGGAGGGTCAGTATCATGTGCTTGATTGGCGCAGCTTCCGCACACCGAGGGTGGCCAGAAGTTCCCTTGGAGCCGAGGCTCAGGCCGGAGGCCAAGCTGCAGATGCCACTGAGTTCGCACGCCGTTTTTGGGAGCATCTACTTCATCCAGCACTTCCTCTTCAAGAACTCTTGAAGGTTCGATCTCAGCTGGCGCCACAGCTGATCACTGATGCAAAAGCTCTCTATGACTCCTACCATCGTGAAGGCATCAGCTCATCGGTCATCGACAAGCGCATCAGCCTCGAAGTTAGAGTGATGAAAGAGAGGACGCAGGACATCGGTGGTTCACTTCGATGGGTCTCCTCAGAGAGACAGCTCGGTGACGGGTTCACGAAAGAAAGTGCTCGCGCACTCCTTGCTGCTCGACTTCGACACGGAAGGATCAAGTTGACTTGGGACCCGTCGTACACTGCGGCCAAACGCAAGACCAAGATGGAGCGCGAGAAGGCCATTGCAGAGTCCACAGATTCCTTCAAGCCTGAGCACTCCACAAACAATGAAGAGATCCCACAGAATGAAGACATGCCAGAGTATGAGTTGCCCCCTGACACCAAGGACACTCAGGAGTTCTTCGACACTCTTGAGGACAATGGCGATCATAAGAATGTGGAGCTTTGTGAGTATGTCCATTTTGCACAGAACACTGAAGCTCCAACGTATGTGTTCCTAGCCAGCCATGTCGTGAGCCGCACAAACACCTTGTCCACGGGTCGCATGAAGTACACCCTCAAATGGTTGGTCTGGTGGTTGATGATGACAGCTGCAACGGCCGATTCCAACACTTGTTCAACATCAAGTGCACCCGAAGAGTATGAAAGTTTGTGGTTCTGGATTTTGGTTTTGGGCACCATCCATGTCACGGCACTCCTGGGTATGTTCATGTTGGGTCGCTACACCAAGAGTCAACCCCAACCAGTACTACAAGACGCCTCCACCCAGAAAGATGAAGCGCTGGTCCCTCAGCGTCTGAGAGAAATGAACACCAAGCTGCGGGCCGAACACAGTCAGGCCTATCAGCAAGTGGAAGAGTCAAGAAAGGCAGCGCAAGAAGCTCGCGCCGCCATGGCGATGCAGGAGAGTGAGTTGGATGCCCTGCGCAATTTGTGTATGGCAGCCAGAGACCTTTTTCAAAATTTAGAAGAAGAGATGAGCGACCATGCTGCTCGCTGCCCGTTCACTCAGTTGATTTTTGCCTCGAAAAGAGGAGAATGTTGGCACCGAGAGACATGCCACCTTCGGGAGCAAATTGCAGAGCAGAACTTGCTCGTGCTCCGATGCTGTCCATACTGCGCCGGAGTAGCTCCACCTCCGAAGAGGATGCTGTATCCCCAAGGGTGGTGCATCGAAATGGACGTGCACCACTGGCTGAGGGCGTTTGATCAACATCATTCCCCCTCTGTGTGAAGATGTACGCCGTACATCAGCTTTTTGTAGGTCAGGAGACCAAACCACCGTCCGACAGAAGGGCGGGCTCGAGAAAGCCAAAAGCCTGGCTCGGTGCGCGATCGACGATCGCCTCTTCGCCTTCGATTCGTTCGTTGGTTTTCGATTTGCTGGAAGACTTCGTTTGCTTCTGGTTTCTACAACAACAAAATAACGAAAAACACCAACACGTCCGGAGCTGGAAGGTTTCGACTTCTTGTCTCAGTGGTGTCCGGTCTATTTCCTCTTTGCACTTCACAAGGACGCGTCGTGCCTGGGCCTGGACTTCAGCTAGCTGGACCGTCTTTTTCTCCAGAGACGTTGGACATTACTTTGCATGTTTTGCTTTCTCAGTCAATCATGAGTAGAACATGCCCCCTGTAGACCATTCCTCGCCGTCATTTTCCTTTAGACTCTATACCATTCACATACAGCTTCCATGATTGTTTGAGTGAAGGTAGTGGCAGGCCGCCGCTTCAACATGTATCGATCCGTGCCCAGGGTCAGAAATCCCGCCAGAACAAGGGGAACTAGAAATTCTGGGGCAAGTTAGGTGCACTACATAGATGCATGCCATGAATATTGGATCTTGATTCTTTGTTCTCCATATACGGAGCACTTCACTGAATTCCAGGATATTCCAGGTTTGTCATTGTTTTCCTGTGTTTACAGGAGGTAGGTCATGGTACGTCCTTTTGGAGTACAACTAAACCTCGACAGCTCTGAAGCTACCACCCTCTTTTTGGCGTCCATGACCTGCATCTAGGGGCCCCATCAAACTCGCCACTCGCAGCGCGGAACGCTGCGCTGAGGATTCAAAGCACCATGATGTCGCTAGAGGGTGGCTTTGATGCGCCTGGGCCGCCTGAAACAGGGACGGGGTGACGACCTGTGGCGACCTGTGGCGAACGACCGTAACCGCGGGTAGCAGTTTTGGTGCTGAACTAGATGGCATCAGTGCACAAAATCATATGAGATGGATAGCCTCCAATCAGATGCAAGATCAGAAGCATGTTCACCAGCCGGTGACCGTCTTCGCCCTTTAGTTCAGTGACCGTTCTTCTCGTTGACCCAGTTCACCCATCCATCCGTTCGGTGTTTTCAGTCCGTCCGTCGTTTGGGGGAAGAACCACACGTTTGTTGGAGAAAACTGGAAGACCACAAAGATTTAAAAAGCGGGACGTTCTATCTAGACGAGTCCAGTTTTGGTCCCTCTTCATCCTGGTTTGCGCTTAAGGTGATGTTTAGATTTTCCCTAATGGGTAAATCCCCTTGTATAGGGACTACCCTTTGACGCACTAACATGGAAGTGGAAAACCGCCTGTTTGTAGAGGACACTAGTCTTCCAGGGCCCCAAAATTGTCCACTTCCATGTGGTGTGTTCGTCAGAGGGTAGTTTAGTTTTTTTCGCCATCTCCAATCAGCCAATCCAGGTCATGTGAACTGGACTCCAGTTCAGCCAGCGTCCAACCGGACCGGAGCCTCGACCAACGCCGTGACGTCCGACCGTCCAAGGCGTTGATCCACTTGGAATTCTCAGGCTTTCTGGTGGCCTACTTGTGCGCCGGACTTCTCCTACTCAGTGAACAAACCTACTCAGTGTTCCTTCATGCATGATTTCACGACATGAAGCGTGATCATGGATTTCACAACAGGCCATACTTTTGCATTGATCAATGGATTTCACAAGAAGTCCTTGAGATGAATCGTGAATAGAAGAGCTCTGAACTATATATATATATATCCTTTGAACAGCCTCAGTTGTACTATTCCAGGATCGAAGCCGCTGTTCGCCAGGTACACGATGATTTCCATCATGGTGTCCTTGGTCATGCTGGATGTGTGGTACGGCGAAGTCCTACCTTGGTCTTGTTGTCCCATGTTCCTGGTCCCGCGAAACCTCTTCAGCCAAGTACCTCGGCTCATAAAAGCCGGCTGTGCAGTGGTGCTTCGTTTGCTACTAGATCGAGAATATAGGATGTGCCTTCCCCAGACGACACCGGAAATGAACCATATGTATTGGACATTTTTGGACAACAAATTGCTCCAAATATAGATGCCCACTTTAACAAGATATTGAACTGTTTGAGCTTGTCGGCGTATGAAAACAAGTTATAGTCTGTTATAGTAAGTATCTCCCCAATCATCACCTAGTAGTTTCACAAAACGGTTGGTGCAGCCGTGCCACCACCACAGCCCACCGGGCCGGTGTTTCATCACCTCGCTCGCTCGCTCGCTCGTTACCAAACGCGCTCTACCTCGTCGGCCGTCAGGACATGCCCCGTTGGTGGACGATGACGGGACGCCCCGACCAAAGGGACGCGGGCTATATGGACCCCTTGATGTACTCGCCAGTCAGCACCAAGCACTACATGCCTGAGGAGGACCCGAGCTCGGACGAGAGGTCGTGCGTGCGAGAGTTGGACGATTAGAGGCAGCATGAGGCAGCTTCTTGATGAAGTCTGAGCTACTTTGTTAAGGAGGGTCTGTTGTTGTTCACAATCTTAGTGTTCTCTGTTCAGAACTGTTTCTGATGAATACAGGTGGGTTCTAAGCAACATCGTTATCCAGTACTAGCGTGATGGGATGCAACCTACCATCCTATATCCAATCCTTCAATCAACCAGTCCAGACTTTTTCGAGCCTGCTGTTTTTTCCCGCACCCCTGACTGTTTCAGTAGTGATTCTATGGATTGAAACACGGCTTCTTCCGATCATGCACCCGCGTCATCAAGAAATCTGGGCGCCCACGCTGACCGGTGTGTTTTTGATTTGAGTGAAACCAAAAATCAGCGCTGCTTCGTCCTTGTCACGTGCTTTTCAATCAGGATTTGCAGAAGTATCCGTACAAGGTGCTGCAGTTCCTTGTCAGGACGACACCTGGGATGTATGAGTCAATGAGTGCTGGAAACATCTTGGCACAGGAGGATGTGGGGGGATGTTTGGTGTTTGTGTTTTAGATAGTGTTTGACTAGGTGTTTTTCGCTGTTGGATTGCGATTTCGCTGGCAGCGGCAGAACCATGACATCCGTACAGCGACGACCGATGACCCATGCAACCCGCATTGACATTGAGCTTCCACATCCAATCCATCGGGTCAGGGGACCTACTTAGCAGGTCTTTGGACCGGTGAAGACCCGCTCTTGACATGTTTAATGCTTATATGATAGAACAGGTGTTTTTTGTGCGGAGCAAATCGACACCTTCAAGCAAATCGACATGGGGATGGGTCCAAACTCAGAGTCCCAGCACCATTTAGCTTGACCTTCCAGGTAGCTGGTGTTACCAAGGTCTCTTGGTTTGGATCTATAGGCACATGGCTTTGGGTCACAACCGCAATAATAACCCCCGTGCCGGACCACCAATCATGAATGATCATGAATACACGAACCAACCAAATGGCCGGTCGTAGCACATTCAATCATGCTTGGACTCCGAATTGGCAACCCTCGTTTTCTTCACTTTTTCTTCCAAACCCTACAAGTCTAAAGGCCCAGTAAAACCTGGTCTTTACCTCCTTGAGTAGTGTCTTACATAACCAACTGTAAAAAAAGGATCCGTTCCTGACCTGTATATGGAAACCTCCAACCTCCTGAGGAGCTCCCTTTCGGCCCCTCCCGAACTCCGCTCCCGTCCAATCTGCGCTCCTCACGAGGTTCGGATCGTTGAGTCAAGTGCCCAAAGAGTTGCAGAAGTTCGTCCCTACGGCTGCAGAGGGGTCTGGTCGGGTCTTTGAGAAAGAGAGAAAGAGAGACCGGGTGAGTTGCTCTTGAGACATTGATGATGGACATCAGATTTGAAGGGAGAGAGGTGAGGTGTCACGCTTCAGAATTCTTAGAGTTTGTGGGCCAAGTGGAAAAGGAGGGGTTGGACTGGAAGACATCGGGGCTCGATCTTCATGAAGATATGCCCTACATACTTGGCCCAGTACTTGGCCCCTTCTTGGCATGATTCATGGAACACAACTAAACATATACAAAAACATCCACTTTTTGGCGCTGCTCACCCTTCCGCTTTCGAGTCCTCCAAGGTCCTGCCCCAATATCTCGGACATCCGGTGGACGACATTTTGTGCTTCTCGAACTTCCCGATCACCGCGGAGCTGCGGGAGGCTCTCACGGAGATGGTGCCCTGGAGCGCAGCGAAGTCCGGCGAGTCCAGGTCCACTGGAAGAGGTCCGGTCGCGAAGAGGTCGGATTAAAGCATCTATAGAGGTATTGATGAGTCTGGGGAACTTTTGGGTTGTTCTTTAAGGTTCAAAATGCAAGACATGCTTGGGATCCGTGAAACGGATGGAGTGGCTGGAAGGTCACTCCACATTCTCAAGGCAGTGCCAAAATACAAGGTGAGCGCTGCATGTGGAAACAAATACTAGTAGGCTGAGAGGTTCTGTCACAAGCCAGAATTCTATCAATTTCAGAATCACCCTGCGACCCCTAATGCCAGTGGAACTCGCCTTCAGCACATCCACTGGAGAGAGTCACAGACCCAATGGGTTTTGTTGGAACGAAGTCCTCTGGATCGAGCGACCCCCATGTTGCAAGCCGTTTCAGTCGCCCAGTGTCGATGAAAGCAGAGAGGGGGGAGCGAGAGGACCACAGCTGGGAGGGGGAGATGGTGTGTTCGTATTTTTCTTCCAGGCTGGCGGGACAGGAAACTGACCATTGTTCATGCGATGATGTTTGGGAATGAAAACAAAGGAAACTCGTCTTATTAATCAACATCTATATATAGATACATCATGTCCTACAAGAAACTGTTTATGTAGCAATCTCCTACCCCCTTTCGAGTTCATCCATTACGTTGGATGGCCAGATTGGAAGTTTGATCATCAGCTCAGGTGCGTTTGACCTTCTCCTATTCTGAGGAAGATACCTTTAATTCGGAGGCGCTGGGACGGCTTGTAGAACAACAACGGCGCTGCCGCTACTTCTTTGAGGAGGCCGAGTTCAAGGCTAAGTGGACTTAACGATCTTTGCGGAACGGCGTAAAGAAGGAGCATGATGATGAGAACTGACAACAAACTCACCAGATAGATTTTTTAAACCTAGATTTTAGCATCATCTAAATTAGGGATCCTTTTTTTGAACCATGCATACCCAAATAAATCTACATTTGAGGCCCGTGTTTCTTCTGGATGCACCAGTTCAGATTTTGGGCAAGTGAAATGGGCGGGTTTCCCTCCTAGGAAAATCTGGAGATCTGGAATCCTGCGGTGCAGGATTTTGGTTGTTTCCAGCCATGTTTCATTGATTCAATTAGTTGGGTAGCTGTGAGGGTTCAAAAAAAGAGGCATCGCCCAGCGCAGGGGGTTTTGATATAGCTTAAGAAATGACAGTATACTTGCGCTGGGACATGCTTGGAAGACCCCATAATGTCAATTGTCCTTATAGCACTGCCAAATGGTACATTCAGGTTGCATTTCATGTTTCAGCAATCCCATACCTACCTTCTCAACTAAAATGACTGTTTCCCCTCAACTTATAATTGATTAAGTGCTTGATTATTGTTTCATCCAAATCAACACAGGTCTTGTTCCTAGTGATGTTCAACCACCTTTTTTCTTGCAGACTCACTGCTTGCCCTTTAGAGATTGGAGTCAGCCACGGAAGCAACGAACAGCAATTTTTGCAATGATGAGCAAAGTTGACCAAGTGCAGAATCGTTAAGACCGGCATTAGCCGCGATGAGTCTCAGTCATGACTGGTGCGTGGAGGGCGCTGCCACGGTGCAAAATGAGCCACTCGCTGCGACGTTTGGCAACCTGGGTCTTGACTGCCTTTCCCAAAGGTCTAGCGAAAGTAATTACAGAAAAAGAGTGTGGCAGCCATTTGATGTCGAAACGGCTTGCATGTCCAAGAACATCAATACTTTTTGTTTCTATCTTGTTGGACTGTTGACTATATATTACCTATAATAGGATGAATATGATAGACTCTGTTCTTTCCCATCGCAACGGCGAACCTCCGTCGTTCTTTCTCGTCCTTCCAAAAGCACCACCACCACACCGGCCAAGCGGCCCCAAGCGGCCCAGCCGGGCCCAGCGGCAGGTCGTTTCCACCTCCACCCCTTCTCAGGTGGACACGGGGAGCCTGGTACGCTCCCAACGAGGTGCAGGAGCGGCCGGTGCCGGAGTGGCTGACGGTCGGAGGGCCTTGGGGCGCATCCAGGGGGGCCGATGATCGACTTGCTGTCACTGAAAAACTTGTATACAGATGTAATTATAGTATAAGATTCAAGTTTGGGAGCTTTTGTTAGGTTACAAGATAACATTAAGTCAGTTGTCTTACAGTTGTATGTTTTGGTTTGGTTGTGGCTGTGGCTGTTGTTGTTGTGGTTGTTTTTTTTGTTATTTTCTTTTCTAATAAAGTTTGTCAGTAGAGATGTGTTTGATTCCACCCTCGGCATCCTTCACTCCCAATCAAGCAATATGTTATGAAGGGGATGGCATTGGACAACTTGAGCTGCTTCCGCCGTGTTTGTTGGCACTTGGATTGAGGCATCATCGGCACTAAAGTAGACGGTCCCAGGAACAAAGTAGTTGCACAGTTTTGCTGTTTTTTCTGTAAGAACATGTAAGAACGCCAATGTGGGGCGGTGTTTGCTCCTCAAAACGCTCTCCACCAGTGACTGTTGACTGGGGGAGTGCCATATACCTCTGGACTCTGGCACTTTGGGACCTCCTCAGAGGATCTCAGAGGTACAGTGGCTTTGCCAAGTTTTTGATGAGTGTCTATTTTTTCGATGGGTGAATCCTCCTCTGGGGGATATGTGTTTTTTGTTGTCCCGGTTCCTTTTGCAAATCCTTTCGCACAAGAGTGGAGTCAGTTCCTGCATTCGCGGATCTAAGAGGTCCTTGGAACCCTGGCTCCCCTGGCTCCCTGACACTGACTGCAAACGCAGAGACTTCATCCTATGGCACATCATCTCTCAGTGGGAGAGATGTGGTCCGGTGTAATTGTAATAGGGAGACCTCTCAGTTCGATCATTGTCCGGAAACCAGTCTAATATACCCATGTAAGTTGGGTCTCCCCACGAAAATACACACCCACACACCCCGCCATTCATGAATTCATTAAAAAGAAAAAACACGGATCCATCATCCATCGAACAGAATCCAGGCCAAGGCCTTTGGCCATTGAATCGCGTAGCGCGAGGCGAAGTCCTTTGCACATCTCTATGTGTCCTTTGGCCATCACATGGAGGACTTCCACTACGAGGACGGACGTTCAGCGCAAAGAGACTCGACAGACAGCGAGAGGTTCGAGCCGTGTCACCGAGCCTGGTTGACATCTGGTTTTGCTGATCAGGTGATTGATTTTCCATGACTTGGAACTGGGAAGATGTTTTACATTTTTGCCAGGTTCGAAAATCTAAAATACACTCTGTAAGGTTGGAAGATTGGTTCTCCCCTTCCAGGTTCCTGAACAGCAAATCCAACTCTTACGGAGTGTCTGACACAGCAGACACTCGCACCTTGGCGGGGATCCAGGGAGGCAGTAAACCACGAATCGTTGCGATGGGGAGTGTCAGTGGTTCCACCACAGACTAAAAGCATAGACCTAGAGTTCCCCTGGTTCCTTATACCTAGAAGATCCTTTGGGCAGAAATTCTTGCCTTTTTCGGGAAGAGCGGCTCTTCCCGTCCTGGGGCGGAAATCAGCTGTTTGCCGCGGAAATATTTTTGTTGCCGCGAATATTCCTTTTCAGGAATACAGTCAGACAAAGACAACATATTCTACAGGAGTTGAATATTTTTGTGGTTTACATTGGGCATTTCTGCCTGGAACGGTCACCGCAATGAGAAAAAACAATTTGCAGCGCTTAAGTTTCCACCTCCACCTGCAAATCTGGCTACCATCATATCATACCCTGATCGTCGTCGTGCATTGTTTAAATGCAGGTTCGCGAACGTGTATTTTATCCTAGGATACCTGTATTTGTGGCCTTTGAGGCTCATAGATGCGGCCTCACATTGGTCAATATATGTGCATGAAATATAAATTCATAAATATTTGCAGCATGTGACCTATTCTTAGCCATCCTAAAGCTTTAAAGCAGCTTCACTCGTGATCTCGTCGTCTTCAATGGGATGACTGCGACCTTCTCCACATTTTGCTCCTTTGATTTGTTTAGCATTAGTTTTGTTCCTCTTTATGCTCAGTGCTGGTTTGTTTCATGCGATTGAAGGCCAACCGATCTTAAGTCTAGAGACTTCCATCCAAGGCTGGGAAATGATGATGGATTCATGGCAAAGCGAGCCCTCTCACGAAGTCAGACCCCAAGTATAGATATAGCAATTGTGAAACTTTACCTGGTCAGCCATTGGTCCCCCTCAACTTCAGCTCAGGATCCCTTTTGGAAGATGAAGATTATCTTATCGATCCCTCGCTCTCAGAAGGACTCCGCTCGGCTTCGTTTTCTCGAGTGCGCACGTGTATGTCGTTCATGTTTGTCTTGGCCATGTGTCTGGTTTTTGGTGGTTGGGCTCAACTTAAGCTTGGGGACACTTCAAGGAACAATGGTTTGGTCATTGCATGATCGACATGACATGACGTGACCACATTCACACTGGCCTTTTTCTAGATTGCGAGAGAGCCATGGCCAAAACAAAGGGTGATCAACAAAACATCAGCATTCTGAAGGCTCCTTTGGCCAATTGTGCATGCATCCATTGCAATGCATGTAATGCGCATGACATACACTTTCTGGTTCGACTTAGGCTTTGTATGGTGAGATCTTGGCAAAAAAGAACTATGTGGCTGAGCGAAGGGCTCTTTTGAGGACAAGGGCTCAGCTCAAGAAATCTGATCGACGCGTGCCGCAGTTGCACTAGTTGTTGCAGTATGACTGTCATGTGACTTTGCTTTTTAGGGTCGGTGTAGAGCTCAGGAACCAAAGTGGACTTTTGTAAACATCCCCAAGAATGGAAAGATTACAGAAAATGAGGCCAGTGGTTACATGAATCCTGAACCAACTTTTACATGCACAAGTGTACATACCAATTTGGGGTGTCCCTCCCTGAGATTGAGCAAGACGACAACTTCGAGATCTTGCTTCCCCTTCTGGCGCAATTTGGTGGTTCTATTCCAACGCAGGCTGAAGTGAAGGCCTGGATGCATGAGAGATTGGGATGCTCAATCGTGTTCATGCCAATGGTTCACAACGTCCCTATCTCACAATCGCGCAATCACTCAGGCTG